AGAACCTTCAGTTTCTACCATAACCTTCCTTTTTTTCCCCTTATTCAATCCTGTACATCTCTTCGTATCCAGGGCTCTCTGCATTTGTTGGTCCCACCTTTCACCTTTACAGTAATATGTTGGCCCTGCAGTCTCACTATTACCCTTTTGAAAGTTGCCCACGACCCCAGAAGTGAAGTTTCCTCGAAGTAGCTGGTCCTAGTGCATTCTGGCCAGATCCTGCCTTAAAATTATTAAATTTAAACTTCCCCAATTCAGAACCTTTCTTTCCACGCCATTTTGTTCTTATCCATAATAACCTTAAATCTATTCTCCCACTGCTACACCCACCTCTCACCTGGCTTCATTCCCCCTCTTATAGGACTTTCTACATTGTGGCTTAAAAAGCTCTACTGGACACACTTAAGAACTCCATTCCCATAGGCCATTCACACTTTGTCTATCCCAGTTAGTATTGGGAAAGATGAAATCTCTTATTACCCTATTATTTTTACACTTGTCTGAGATTTACTGAGAGATCTCTCTCTTTTCCATCTCAATCTCTAACTCTTTGGGGGTCTATACTACACACCCTGCAAAGTGATTATACCCCCTCCATCTGAGGAAGTGTCACTGGACCCAAAACGTTAACTCGGTTTTTTTCCTTCACAGATGCTGCCAGACCTGCTGAGCTTTTCCAGCAACTTTTGTTTTGATACCCCCACCATCAGTGAACATTCCCATTTCTGGACTTATGATGGACGGTAGGTCATTGATACAGCAGCTAAAATGTTTGTGACCAGGACACTACCCTAAGGAACTGCTGAAAAATATACTGACAATAGAATGATTGGCATCCAAGCACAGCAGCCATCTTCCTTTGTGCTAGGTAGAACACCAAAACAGTGGAGTGTTTATATTACTGCCATTGACTTCAATATTGCTAGGGCTTCTTGATGTCTTTTTCTGGCAAATGCTGCATTGATACCAAGGGTAATCACTCTCACCTCATCTTGGGTTTGGCTCTTTTGTCTATGTTTGGACCATGGCCAAAGTCATGTGCCCTGGCAAAACCCGAACTGAGCAGCAGTGAGCAGGTTGCTGCTGTATAAAAGCTGCAGACAGCACTATAGCTGGCATCTACCATCAATTCACCAACAATTGGGAGTAGGCTGATGGGATGGTAAATAGCCAGGTTGTATTACAATAGGCTTTAGATAAAGAAAATTCCATAATCTTAAGAACATAAAGTGACAAACAATGGACACCTGTTTGCTGCTCTGCACCAGTGCTACTCTGTTCCAGTTTTTCCTCAACTAAATACACCCTACTGCTTTTGACCACAATTTTTGCTCTTTCTTGTGTGTCATGTCTCATTCGGTAGCATCCCACTTCTCAGTCAGAGGGTCATGAGTTTAAGTCCCTGGCTAGAATCTGAACACAGGAAAAAGAAAAGTCAAAGCTGACACTCCAGAGCAGTACTGATGGACTGCTGCACTGCTGGCAGCATCATCTTCCAGGTGAGATGTTGCACCAAGGTTTTGTCTGGCCTCTAAGTTGGACACAAAAGATTATGTGACACTATTTCAAGGAGAATCACAGGCATGATCCCTGGTGCTTTGGTTAATATTTATCCCACAGTCATCACCATTAAATGAAATGTACTTCATCATTGTCAACTTTGCTGCATTTTATACAATAATAGTGACATTCCAAAAGTGCTTCACAAGCTATCATTTAGCGCACAGATACTAGCCCTGTAAACAGACCATTCCCCCAGCCAAGCACCACCTCCCCCAACACACATACACACAGCATGGTCATCTACAGCCATCAGTATTGCCACCTGGAACAGTGACTACTACTGGGCACTACAGAGAGTCTCCAATGACGATCACACTAGAACCAACTCAGAAGTTAAGTTAGGGATTTTGGCCTAGACCAACTTAGCCCCAGCAACAGGGGTTTAGGAGGGCAAGGCCTCCATTGGGCAGAACCTCCCCAAACAGGGGATCACAGCGCCAACCCTTCCCCCGGACTGCAAAAAGACCATCAGATAAAATGTGGCATCACCAAATGGCATGAACCCCTCACGCCATTAGTAAAGAACCAGTGGCAGAGGGAGGTGGCATTAATTGGATGGCACCCAGTTCTATGGCCTTTGAGGATGGGGAGAGGATAAGCTAAAATTCTACCCTCAGACAATGAAGCATTTTTGGCCCTGCTGCGGTCTACACACCATATAAATACAGATTCTTTGCTTTATTTCCCTCACCTTTGCAAACAATTCACACGTAAACCTGTTCAGCAATACACTACTCAATGCAGAGGCATCACAGCCCAATCTGATCTTCACACATGAATGCACTGCGATTTTTAAAAATCAACAGTGTTGCAGTTCTCTGCAATGCTTAACATCAAAATTCAACATTCTTTTTGTTCATGTAGCTGTTGAGTAACTGTTTCTATGTTACCACTGACTGAAGTTTAATCAGCAGCTGGGCAATGCTGAAAAGCATTGAGCTTAAAGCCCCAGTTTTAATTTGACCTTTAATCCAAAAATCGGCAAAGGAAAGGGAATAAAAATAGAGGTAGAGATTATGGCCTAAATTAGTGAGCTCATTGTCAAGTTGGGAAAGTTGTGAAGTGTCCCATTGAAAAATTCGGAGCTGCTCCTTAAGCTTAGGTCAAGCGTCGCTGGAATAATGTAGGAGATCAAGGACAGAGGTGGGAGGTTGGGACAAAATGTAGAACCCCATGTCCAGAAGCCTCAGTGTAACTGACAAATGAGTCTCAGTATTGGTTAAGTGTGAGGTGGTACACTTTGATTAAGGGACATAAGGATACCACATTCTCCTTTGGAAAAGGAGTCTAAATGATAGTCAAGGAATCTAAAAGTACACATTCACAGTCTGTAACAACACAGGTTAACAAAATATCTAAAACTCCAAATGAACCGTCAGTGTTGGTTCTAGAGGAATAGAGCTAAAAAGAACAAAGTAGTGAGAATTCAGGACTCCACTCTACATGGAAGAATTGAGATGAGTTAAGGAGACGTTGATAAGCAAAAGGTGAAGATAAAGAATATCTGGACCGTGAAGGAGAAGTAGACTGGAAGGAGGGTCCCTATTTTGTTATGTAATGCTGTCTCAGCCTAGTTCACTCAAAATCAATTCAGTGTCATTGCGACAATAAGTACTTTTTTTTTCAAAGGCTAGGGAGCATCTGACAATAATCCTTGCAGAAGTCTTTGTACTCTCCCCTCTAACTGTGCAGTTGAATACCAGAACACATTATCAACAATAGAAAAATTATCAGAACATTCAGATGACTTTGAATTTAATTTACTATTTCTTTGTGGTCATGAATGAAAATCCCATAAATTTGCTTTAAAAGCAACAGGTAGCTACATTGAAAGAATTAAATATTCAAAAACAAAGACACACACTATGAAGGGGGATTTGGCAAGTGCACAGAAAGGATATACAGAAGATAAATTTTCTGAATTAGCATCATTGCTTAAACAGCAACAATCAAAAGGAACAAACAAGGTTTTATAAGGCTCATCCTGTCACTGATAGTGCTGTTAAGATGTGATTATCACCAAAATATCAAGTCGTAGCATAAATCACAGGCAGAAATCTTGAATAATTGTGCTTTCAATCCTGCAGAGACAGCGGGCAAATTCTAGCCTATGCTTCTAGCGACAGCCTCAACCAAAACTGTCTCCAATGTAATTTCAATAGAGGAAAACAACAGCATCTATATCACCTTAAACATCAGCTCCGCAACACATGCTTAAATTTGAACTTTGCAACAATGATGGGAGGTGGCCAGAGGAAGCGAGAAGCCAAGTAAAAAAAGTGGCAGCAGCTCACAATAGAGCTATGGGACTGGAAGAGAAATTCTTTCCCCACAATTTCTTCAGTAGGCTCTAGTCATTTTTATAAACGACTGCTGTTTAAGACCCTGTGGAACTGGAAAAAGTCATGGGGCTAACTTGATACATTTTCAAAGGTTGGGGAGCACAGGAACCATCTTTCAATATATTAAATAATCCAATGCTGGTCATATGGCTATCAGGGATATCTTCAACCCAAAATGGTAAAAATCATGCTGAGAGAATGCTAGAATGCAAGAGCAGGGATGCTAAGGCTTTATGAGGCTGTAGTCAGACCATATTTGGAATATTATGAGCAGTTTTGGGCCCCATATCTAAGGGAGGGTGCGCTGGTTTTGGAGGGGATCCAGATGAGGTTTACAAGAATGATCCCAGGTACGAAAGGCTTGTCATATGAGGAGCAGTTGAGGACTCTAGGTCTGTACTCGATGGAGTTCAGAAGGATGAGGGCGCGGGGAGGATCTGATTCAAACTTATAGAATACTGAGAGGTATGGATATGGTGGATGCAGAGAAGATGTTTCCATTAGTAGGGGAGACAAGGACCCAAGGGCACAGCCTCAGAGTGAAGGAACGATCCTTTAGAACTGAGATGAGGAGGAATTTCTTCAGCCAGATGGTGGTTAATCCAAGGAAATCATTGTCGCAGGGGGCTGTGGAGGCCAAGACATTGAGTGTATTTAAGACAGACAGATAGGTTCTTGATTAGTAAGGGCATCAAAGGTTACAGGGAAAAGGCAGGAGAATGGGGTTGAGAAACATATCAGCTACGATTGAATGGTTGGTGCAGCAGACTTGATAGACTGAATGGCCTAATTCTGCTCCTTTATCTTATGGACTCATGGAGGGTGCAGAATAAACAATATTTCATGTCAAAATATTTAACACAAAAAAATCAACCACAATGCTTACAGATTCAAGAGAGGCCAGAACGTCTAAATAACATTTACTGAATATTGTCCATCAACAAAACCACGCCCGCCACTGTGTTTTTCCAACAAACCTGATTCCCCTACTATAGACATTGCGTAGACCGGCCATTTTCAATTATCATCTCGGAAAAAAGTCACCTCAGAAACATCCTTTCAGAAAGGTCAACCTGCTCACATCTCACATTATACCTTGAAGCAGTGATGCTTGCGAGAAGCTTTTCCGTGTTCTCTGACAACTCCATTGGAAGCAGAATTTCGACTGGCTGTAGACATAGGATCCGGCTTTCCAGCTCAGATCTGGATTTGCAATCGAGAAAACAATCATAAACCACGTCACCAGTGTTGGGTTGGACTGCCTGTGAAATACAATGGTTAAAGTCAAGTTTCGGACATTCATCAGCCAAAACTAAGAAATGTAAAGTTTCTGCAATTGCAGATTAATTATTTTCTAAAAATGCAGTTCACCATATTTTGTAATTTTTTAAAAAAATATGTTGACAGACCAAACAGATAGAGGTATACCAGTGAGTTTCTTTTAAAACAAAAATGATACTAACATAGGTTGCAAGAAATATGCCACAAGCCAAGATACTGAACCATGATTCCAGTATTACAACATAAGAAATAGCAGCAGGAGGTTTTACAGCTCTTGGAGCCTGCTCCGTTCAAATACTCATGGCTAATCGAATCTTGACCTTAACTCCACTTTCCTGTCATTCCTATTACCATAGACTAACTCCTCGAAAGTTCAAGAATCTGTGAGCTCTAGTTCAAGATTCCCCGTGAAGGGAAACAGCCTGACGATATCAACTTTGTGAAGCCCTCTCAAAATTTTATGTTTCAATAAAATCACCTCTTCTAAATTCCAATGACAATTATCTATGATAACATATTGAAAACTTGGATGGGGAATGTGAACGTACCATAGCAAAGTATGCAAATGACATAAAATAGGATGGAAAGGAAGTGGGAGGATGACACAGAGTCTGCAGAGGGATGTAGCCAGGTTAAGCGAGTGGACAAAGTCTTGGTAGATGGAATATAAATTGGGGAAAATGTGAAGTTATGCACTTTGGCAGGAATAGAGGTGCTGAATCTTGTTTAAAATGGAGAAAGACTGCATAAAGCTACGGAACAGAGATATTTGGGAGTCCTCATCCATGAATCAAAAAAGTGAACATCCAAGTTCAGAGGATAATAGGGAAGGCAGCATGAGGAACCCTATAATCCAGCAATTTTCATTACTCATGTAGGGGTCAGAGAAATTATGAGAAATGCACTACCTTGTGTAATAAAATAGATTCCATTCTAATTGAAAAATCAATTTGCTAATCTTCAGAGTTCTTAAGTGCAATTCTATTATACAAAAATAAATTAGCAGTATTGATACAAATCAATTTAAGTTTAAATCTTTTTAGCTTGAAACATTTGTTTATATAGCACGTAGAGCCATATTTCTGGGGAAAAAACAACAAAGCACTTGGCATATTCTTCCTAGAGTAACTAAGCAAGGCTACACAATTGTATTTAAATGAATGGCTGGTTAATGGGTTTCTGGGTGTACTGATTGAAAGAAGAAAGTTAATCTTTTTTTAGAAGCATACCTTGGGAGCTTTAACGTACACCTGAAATTAGTCAGGTTTAACATTTCGTCCAGGTGATAGCACTTCTGGCAAAGCAGCATTCCAACCAGAGAGTTCGGAAGGATGAGGAGGCAAAGATCAGACCACAGTGCAATGTAAGCCCAGATGGAGACCGAGAAGGAAAAAATAATCACTGATCTGGGGGGAAGCTGGGGCATTCTGTTGTTTACAGCAACGAGGTAAGACCATGATTGGCAGAAAGTTTACATGAGGGGCTCCCAAGCTATGCTATAAAAAGCATATGGACCATGTGCAGGCAGATGGGATTAGTTCAGAATGACATCATGGATCAGCACAGACATGGTGGGCGAAAGGGCTTGTTGCTGTGCTGTATGTTCTGTTTCTGTGTTAGCTGCTTGATCCAATCCATTTAATTACCAGGTTTCTTGTACCCTGTGAAATATGGCCAACCTGCCAACTATACTGTGGGAACCTGATTTCATTAATATAATGATGGGTGACAACTCTCAAGAGTAGTACACGGACATAACATATAACCACAAAGATTGCAGCAGGTACATGCACAGTGGGTTAAGGTTATGTTGTGTTATGTTATTTTTATTTTTGCCTGTAATTCTCCATTGCCTATTATGGTGAGTTTATATAGACCCCATGTGGTCTATTTTAAATTTTAGAAGGAAGAACAGCTCACATTTTGTTTAGGGATATAAAAGAGCTATGGATTTATGTTATGATGTGATATTTTGGTAATAATCACATCTTAACAGCACTATCACTGGTAAGACAAGCCTTATAAAACCTTGTTTGTTCCTTTTAATGATTGTTGCTGTTTAAGCAATGATGCTAATCAGAAAATTTATCTTCTGTATATCCTTTCTGCGCACTTGCCAGATTCCACCTCATTGTGTATGATGTAGTGTTTTTGAATATTTAATTCTTTCAATGTAGCTACCTGTTGCTTTTAAAGCAAATTCATGGGATTTTCATTTATGACCATGAAGAAATAGAAAATTAAACCAAAAGTCATCTGAATGTTCTGATAATGTATCAGTCTGTTGATGCAGTTCTGTGATTTAAATTGAACAGTTAAAGAGTGGGGGCTATAAAGATTTCTGCAAGGATTGTCAAATGCTCCCCAATCTTTGGGGAAAAGAAAATACTTTTTTCGTCATAATGACATTAAACAGATTGATTTTACTGAGTGAGCCTGACTAAGACTGTGTTGCATAGAATCTTTAGCACAGAACAGAGACTCTCCTCCCAATCTATTTCTCCTCCTCTGTCCTGATACCAGGGTACCTGTCCCCGTGAACAAAGTGGCCTGGCAGAGGCATTACAATGCAAGGTGCCAGTACACTCCAAAGTTCAGCACTGAAGTGGAGAACTGTACTGCTGATGGCTCAGAGATGAGCTATGAGCATGTAATGAGACAATACTTATAAATAAAGATAAGGTCATAATGAGATACAAGTCTCAAAGGCAAATTGACTCCTGCCACTCATTAATGAGAACCTCAATTCACCACTCAAATTTTGGGAGGAACAATCCAGATTTTTCTCTTCTCGATGTCAAGAATCTCATTCGTCTAATCTTGCCATATTGCCCCAACTAATTAACCAATGCCTACATCAATCAGAAGCTGGGAAAATATAGTACTGAGAGATGGTCAGGAATGGACACATTCTATATCACTGTGCCACAACCACACACACTCACTGCTTCAAAACAAGGAGACAAACGAATAAACATCATTGGAGACAGAATTAAAATTATAAACCAAAATTAAAATTATGTTGGGAATGAAAAGAGTATTTCAGCACCTTTGTTTGAAAGTACTGCATTACTTTAACCATTAGCAAAGGTACTAAATTAAATAAAATAAATGGCTAACCAGACAGTGAATAGGAATATCTACAATGTTTCGTTACTACAATCATACAATTGTAATTACTGAATAAATTTTGTTTGAATTAAAATGCACGAGCCCAAATTTTACACCTAATAGAGTCAACCATTATTTAAATAACACCACTAAGAGTGCTGGAGAAACTCAGCAGGTCTGGTAGCATCTGTGGATAGAGGAACAGAATTAACAGTTCTAGTCTAGTGTGACATTATTTAGATTTTTTACAATATGTGCACACTAACTTGGTGAAAATGTCAGCTGTTAATGTGACACTGAGGGGAACGTAAGTGAACATGGCAAGTAACCGTGTATCCTTTTAACCCATCAGACTGAAGGACTAAGAAAGAAACAGTGGGAATAAAGTGTAAATTTAAATGCGTAAATTTAATACAGAATCTGGCACAGAAAGAGAAGTCAATGGGGCAAAAGGCGGCAGAAAGGAAAAAAATTAAATGTGGCATTTTAAGATCTCCAATTACAATTAATGCTTAAAAGGAATGAGTCTCTTATTGATAATGATTAATTTTCAGTGCTAGGGAGTACGTTTGGAAGTAATGAACAATGATCAATTTGTTAAGAGATTATATACACTTTTTTTTATTCATTCACAGGACGAGGGCATCGCTGGCTAGGCAGCATTTATTGCCCATCCCTAATTGCCCAGAGGACAGTTAAGAGCCAACCACATTGCTGTGGGTCTGGAGTCACATGTAGACCAGACCAGGTTAGGATGGCAGTTTCCTTCCCTAAAGGACATTAGTAAACCAAATGGGTTTTTCCAACAATCGACAATGGACTCACTGGCATCATTAGACTGTTAATTCCAGATATTTATTAAATGCAAATTCCACCATCTGCCATGGTGGGATTCGAACCCAAGTCCCCAGAACATTATCTGGGTCCTCTGGATTAACAGTCCAGCGACAATACCACTAGGTCAACGCCTCCCCAATTGCGTCTTGTAACAACAAGACCCAATTTCCTCTGATAAGCTTATTCAAATCCAGCCATATTTTCAAAGTTGTTGGCAGAAATAGAGTGAACTGCAGCTTTGGGATATTTGCACATGTTTTTAAATCTACCATCTGCAACATCTACCCATAAATAAAGATGGGTGCCACAAACTTGATCACTATTTTGACAATAAAATCTGGTCCATAATATCTGCTATGTATTCCAAAATTTGGAACCAGAAACTAGAACTTTGCTGCTAAAGTCAGCTTGCAAATAGACAAGAAAACTATTTTCATTACTACAGTCACCATCTAAAAGCATTGTATGTGGCTTTAAACTATGTATTTAAACTTTACTCAAAACTTCAAACAAATCCTTAAAAGCAAAACCCGAGCACAAAGAATTTATATACAAGTAAATTTTTTTGACAAAGGAGCCAAGAACAAAAAAAACAAAATTTTACAGTACTCTGTCTCTGACAATATCTGCAGAGAGAAACAAAGTTAACATGTCAGGTCGTGATCCATCATCAGAACTTATGAAATCTTAACTCTGTTTTACTCGCCACACATGCTGCCAAATCCAATAACATTTCCAGAATTTTCTGCTTTCATTGCAGATTTCCAACTGTGTTATTTTGCTGCTGTATAAGGGAGCTATGTTTCCTGGCTGACCAAGTTAACACAGTGAAAAGCTGACATCTTTAAAAGAATACTCAAAACAACTCAACAGTTGCCGCTACCCATCATAAAATGCCACAGCACATTTGTCACAACAGCACCGTGTTTCAAGCAAGTGACCTCCTGAACTGTAGGGGTCTGACTGTTCTATTCATTGAATGGACAAACCGGATACTTCCCCTCCTCGGTGGTCGAGAACGCCCTCAACCGTG